TCAGCTTCTTGAGCTGCTCTATTCTCCATTTTACAGGAAGTGTCGCGCCCGTGCGGAAGAACTTGCGCTGGGTGGCGACGATTTGTTGGATTTGTTCGTTTGTATATGACATAGTCTCTGTTTTTTCATCTGGCACTTTTCATCTGTACCGCACCACACTGCGGCTTCGCCTTGTGTGGAGTTAATTGCACTTCGTGCGTCTTGCCTCTCCGAGGCTGCTCAAGGAAGTATTTTTATATTACTACCCCGCCCTTCGGGCACCCCTTCTATAATACTACTCTTTATACACATCTCTGACCCTTGCGAAAGCTATGACTTCAAGGTGTTGGTTAAACCTGTCGAGTCCCTTCTTCATAGTGATGTACCCAGGCTTGCCATGTGCTTTGACATAGCCGCTCCAACCTCCAAGTCGTGCGATAATCCATGCCGCCCACGGCAGCGAGTTCTCGCGGAACGGGTTCCTTCCATCCAAAGCCTTTGGAGATTTGCGGTGAATATATTCCATCTCCAATTCAAAAAGTTCCATCTCCTGCTCATCAAACATTCGGTTTGCGGGGACGCTTTCGTCATGTTCGTCATAGGCTCGTTTCAGGGTCACGCAACGGAGTGCCGCATGCATGGTCAGCACTATCAGCTTCTTCACCGCCGCGCCGCTCTCCAGCTGCACCGACTCAATGCGGAAGCCCTCGGACTTGCATACCCTGAAGAGTTCCTCGACGAACCAGCGGCACTTGTACCATTCCACGCACTCTTCAGCCTGTTCCACCGCATCCACCACGTGCGAGGTCAACAACCGCCATTCTATCGGTTCTTCGCCGTCAGGGACGGTAGAGGGGTCTTCCACTGCATAGACGCAATAGCAGGTCAGGCTCTCCGGCACATCTTCAAGGCATTTGTTCCCCTTGTGTATGGTGACCTCGGCAAAGCGGAGCCTCATCCTTGCCGTGCGCGCCTTCCTGCCCTTGTGGCCGCGAAGGTGAAGATCATAGGTGTGGGACACGGGGAGGCTTTCCATGTACTCCTTTATCCCCATGCGCCCGTCCTCCATGTCGCAGTCCACAGGACGGTCATGGACGGAGCGGATCAGAAAGTCGCAGCCGGCGGCGAGGGTCATACACATGACCGAATAGATGTCGCTCTCCCTGTCTCCCACCATCGTCTTGCGAACCTCCTTGGGAAGCACGGCGGCACTCTTCAAGGCGGCCTCGGCCCAGCGGAAGGACTCTTTCCGCTCCAATTTCAGCGAACCGCGCTGTCGCTTCTTATTCCTTTCCTGCGCACGGTCGCGGCTCCACACCCTCATGTGGCTGAAGCCGACGGGCATCCGGCTGCTGGCTTCCACCACCATACACGGATGGGCGAAGATGCTATACTGATTGTATTCACTCGTGCCATAGCCAAAGTCTTTGTCCTCAAGGGACAGGCGGCCTGTATGGCTGAACACGACCTCTGTCGTGTCCTGAATGCAGAGCACATGCGAGAGACCGGAACACCCCTGTGCGCAATCTTTTGCCAGGCTACTGACTATTTCCTCCATAGTTAGCTTTTTGTTGTTTATTAAACGGTACGCCGCGATACGTTCAGAGCTGTTCTCGCAGCAGTTGTTGATGATGCTGGACTGCTTCGCCACCATCTTGTCGGAAAGCCATCCTATACGTTTTCCGATTCGCGCATCGTTCCCGATGCCTTGGAATATTTCACCACACGGAACAAAAATACAAAATCCCAGCTGTTCTCATAAGGTTTTTTGGGGAAAGATATTAAGGAAAAGATGTGTATAAAGAGT